CTCATTGGGGTCCCCCTCCGTTCTCCGGCGCGGGAAGAAGGTCTTGTCACCCACCGTGAGCTGGAGTACCGACGACTCGGACCTCAGCCCCAGGCTTCTGCTTAGGAGAACGAAACCCGGGACAGACCTGAGCGCACATCCTGTTAGGATAGAGGGTGGCGCCTGGAGGAGCCAGATGCGGGGAATACCGTGAAGGAGGGTGTTGCCGCCCCGAAGACTGACAGGTGGTGGGAACCTAAGCAGGAGGTGGCGAGGAGTACGCGAGAGCGATGGCCAGTGTGGCTGCTCGCACTTGGTAGATGGGGCTTGGATCTGGAGTCGAAGCTGAGAGCGTACGTGGTTAAGAAGGTGGTGCCGCGATAAAATCGGGAGCCCTCGCGCGAGGAGGAGGAATTTTGTGGAACTTGGGATGTATCGGGTTTGCAACGGTGGTTTAGGCAGGGATGGTAGAAGGGTAACAGGAAGAAAGCATGGGGAGTGAGCCGGAAGGAGACGTCCTAGGTGAGAACAAAACAGGTGGAGTTTCGTGTAGTACTAGGGTAAGGGTAAGAAGTATTGGTTTTGTTTGGGGGAATGTTATCAGTGACAGGAGGTGCTGCCAGGGTTTCAAGGAGCCCGTGGGAGTCTGAGACCGGGTGGCTGGATTTGAGGATTAGGAAGTTACGAGAGTCGGCCACTGAATGGAGAGACTGCAGGTGCAGACGTGACCTTCTTCCCTTGGAGCACGGAGCAGACGCTTATGGAGGTGGGCAAGGTTCCTAAAAGCTTGAGGTTTGTTTGTTTTTAGGAATGCATCCAAATATTCTTTTTTAAAAAATATATTTTTTATTGATTTTTTTTTTTTTTTTTTTTTACAGAGAAGAAGGGAGAGGGATAGAGAGTTAGAAACATCGATCAGCTGCCTCCTACACACCCCTCCCACTGGGGATGTGCCTGAAACCTAGGTACATGCCCTTGACCGGAATCGAACCTGGGACCCTTCAGTCCGCAGGCCTACGCTCTATCCACTGAGCCACACCAGTCAGGGCCCAAATGTTCTTTTTTTTTTTTTTTTTAGGCACCATTTCCTTGACCCGGCTGCACCATTATCTTCGGTGCAGAAAACCAGTTAACCAATGTATAACATTAGAGATTCAAAATGACAAATGGAAGTGTTCGTTCTGAAAAGAAGGAAGGACACTTTCCATTGAAACCATAGGAAAAGTGGAGAAATGAGGTGAATGAAGAATTGTCCAAAACTTAACGTATCTTTAGTAGGAAAGCTCTCTGCAATCAGATTAGCTTTTCATATTGAATCTTGGGTTTTTTACAGTGTTTCTAAGCAGCATTCACCTATTGGAGTTCCCTGCAGGGTAGATACTTGTAAGGTGCTCAGTAGTATCTCAGTTTGAGGGTAGGAAATGGTATTTGTAAAGAAGAGGAATTCTCTCTCCATCTGCAAATTACCTTCCTTCCTGTTACACAGAGAAAATAAAAGCCATCGTCTTCCTGCAACCAAATATGTAAACCTTCTTCCCATTTGTTTAAAGAGGGAAAAATGCCCCTTCTCCTTATGGAAAACAAATCCTTTCACCTAGTTGACCAATGCCATCCTCTCCTACCTTTACAGGGTTTTCTTTCTTTTTTTAGTTATTCTTTCCCCTACATCATCAGCCTTCCCCCCTCTGCTCACACCTTTTCTTTCCAATTTAAAAATATTCTTCCTTAGCTCTATGATCTACACCCATTTATTTGCCTGTCTTTTCATTTCCTTCACAACTAGAGTTCTTGAATGTATCATCTGCTCTCCTTATCTCTGTTTTTCCCACTTCTTGCTACTTATTTCTCATTTCTCAGCCCTTTCCAGTATACCTGGTTTCCAGTTCTCCATTAAACTGTCACTGAAACTGCTTTTAATAAGATCATCAACATCCTCTCTGTGTTAAATTATATTTTCTCAGTAGGGACAAGAAAAAATCATATTCTTTTTATAAAGCACAGATATCTCAACAGTACATAAAGAAATATACAGTATATACTTGTGGTCTGAAACTTTCTAGGGGAAGGGTATGATAGAAGGGGAGTCTGAAAAGGCTCCTTTAGCAGGTAATAATGAAAAGAAAGTTGAGAAACTTAAATCAACACTTTCAGTTCTTGTAGCTTGAACTCTTTGTGCCATTTACAATGTTTAAAACTCCATTCTTCTGGAAACACACTAACACACTATAGTTACTAAAAAAAACCATTACCTTCTCTGCTTTTTTCTTATCCTTTTTCAGTCAGATCTTTTCTCTCTTTTTTTTAGAGTATGTTTATTAAAATGGGACAGTGAAGCAAGGAGGGTGTTAGGATAGAAGCAGCAACAGGAGAGGCTAGGCAGTCTGCTTTGGCTCTAGAACAGATGGGAAGGAGGTGAGCCAAGGCGGGACTGATACCCGCTCACAGGAAAGTCAGAGAGAGGGGGCTTTGGAGACGGTTCAGGGGGTTGGCCCGGGATGAGGTGCCACTGCCCATTGCTCTCCTGGTTGCAAGTCTCATGGGGACCCTTAGCGTTTAGGAGATGAATGCCTGTGGGGGGAAGAAGGGGAAGGAAAAAGTGCGGCTCACTCCCAGGAGGGAGATCGCATCCAAATATTCTTTTTTTAGGCACATTTCCTTGACCCAGCTGTTACTCAGATGTTGGAGTTCCTTTCACAGACTCTCTCCAATTCACACTCTCTTTGTAGTTTTATTCTTAGAATTACAATTCCCATTAACAAAAATAATGATTATTAAAGAAATCTATTTCCAACTTGGCTTCTCTTGGGAGCACCAGACCCATATATCTTTTGCATATGTCTATTTGATTCAAATATAACCAGAATTGGGTCTGATCTTACAGAACTAGGGTTCAATGCCTCATTTTCCCTCTCATACTCCCCTCTTCTCCCTCCCCAGTCTTTGCTCAAACCAAAATGTTTCTCATCTTTTTATTTTACTCCATCCCTACTGTTAACATTCTAGTTCAGGTCACAGCCATAACTCATCTCTCAACTGGTCTCACAATAGCCAGTTTCCCTTTTATGCATTTGCCACAGTGCAGTCTTCCTAAAACTGTAAATGGGATTGTATGAATCCCCTGCATAAAACCATAAAAATGATTTTACGTTGCCCTGAGAACAAAGTGAACCCATCTCTGCGTATTTCACCTCACCATTCCCCTCACCTTCTAAAGTTGCTAAATTTTACTGGATTTCTTTATCTTGTGTTCTCTCTCACCGTAAAGCCTTGCAAATTTCTATAATACACTGCATTTCCCTGTCATAATAGGATTTACATCTTACTGTATTGAGTTTTTTGCCTTCTTTGTTGAACTATAGACACTTAAGTTCAGGACCTGTATTTTGTTCACCTCTGTCTCCCCATTATTTATATAGAAAACATTCAAAACTACTTGTTGGGGTATAAACGGTCAACATATTGGCTGAAAGTCAGGTGAGCCAGATTCTTCTCTGGTCTCATTCTCTCACCTTGGATAGGCCTCTCTTGCCTTCCATGCCTTTATTCTGCTCTGTATAGAGGGAATACATTTCTTTTTTCTCCTCCAAGGATATTTTGACTTGTAATTGCACTGCTTATGTATCATCAGGATGAGTATGTCCAACATTTGGTAAAGGGGATTTATGAAGTATTTAAGCTGTAGTCAAAGCTCTGATGGGACTGCCTCTGAAGACAGTTTCTCAAGTGGCTTTAAAATAACTGGGAGAATTCTGTTTTCTGGCTCAAAACCACTCTGGTCAAAAAGTGGTGGTGGTTGTGTGTGGGTATGTGTGTGTGTGTGTAGCTTTTCCCAGGAGGTTTTTAAAAATAATAAAAGAAGTAAGCGCAGCTACTAAAAGAGTAAGTAGCGGAAGAAACAGGCTGCAAGTGATATTTATTTAATTGTTATATGCATTAGGCCCGTGGTCATAATATGGATGCAGGAAATAAGCTCTCTTTTCGTATATTAGGAGGTTAAGATGGGTGTTTAAGCTAAGCACTAATGAAAGCTACGAAGTGTTATGCTTTCATCTCAGCACTAAGGATAACAATAAATCCAGATGGCCAGTTTAACGAGCTGTATTCTTCTGAGATCTGTACTACTGCCAATGAAAGCAACTTTGGTGGAAACTTTTCCTGGAAAGAATTTTTCACCAGCTTAAAACGATGAGTAGGAATCTGGCCTCTAAAAATAAAGAGAACTTCAAAGTCGCTTGTTTCAAGAACAGCAGTCTTTTAGGGTGTATTGAAGCAATGGAGTACCACAGATACATGTGAACTATTCTTTCTATAAGATAAATGGTTGAAGAAGAGAACATATGTCAGTCAGCTCCTTTAAATATCATTTCTGCTCTAAATAATTTATTAGAACACACTTTGGCTTCTAACTATACAAGAAGCATACCCTTCAACTATTTCTCTTAATTATAAGTTCAGCACATTTGCTGCCCAGTCCAATATGGTAACCACTAACTACATATAATTAAAATTAAAACTTCAGTACATCAGTTGCATTAGCCAAATTTCATGTGTTCATTAGTCACATGTGATTAGTGGTACTGTATTGGACAGCACAGATACAGGACATTTACATCATTGCAGGAAATCCTATTGGGTGGTATTTTATGTTTCTAACTAGAGGTCCGGTGCACGAAATTCGTGCAGTGGGGGGAGGGGCCTCAGCCCAGCCTGCACCCTCTCCAATCCAAGACCCCTCAGGGATGTCTGACTGCCAATTTTAGGCCTAATTTAGGCCTAATCCCACTGGTATTTCGTTTAGGAGTTTTGCTTCCTAAACCGGCAGTCGGACATCCCTCTTGCAATCCGGGACTGCTGGCTCCTAACCACTCACCTCCCTGTCTGTCTGATCGCCCCAACTGCTCCCTGCTTACCTGATCACCCCTAACCAGCTCTCCCCTGCGAGCCTGATCACCCCTAACCGTCTCTGCCTCTGTCCCTGCCACCATGGCTTTGTCAAGAAGGCGTCCGAAAGACATCCAGTCTAAATAGCTTATTACCCTTTTATTAGTATAGATACTGTGTATTGTGTTAATTGATTTTCATATGTTGAAACCATCTGTGCATTCTTGGAACAAATCGCACTTGGTCAAGGTATATCAGTATAATATTTTTTTATGATGCTGGATTCAGTTGCTGGTATTTTGTTTAGAAGTTTTGCTTCCGTGTTCTTAAATGATAATGGTCTATAGTTTCTTGTATTGCCTTTTCTGGGTTTGGTGTCAGGATAATAGAAAGATATCTTTGATGTATACTAAATTTAAACTTTTTTCCCCCAGAAAATGATCCACAGTCTATTTCTCATAAACTGTTCCGGTGACATATTTCTAGAGAAGCACTGGAAGAGTGTTGTGAGCCAATCTGTCTGTGATTACTTCTTTGAAGCTCAAGAGAAAGCTGCTGATGTTGAAAATGTACCCCCTGTCATTTCCACACCTCACCACTACCTCATCAGTATCTATAGGGATAAGCTCTTCTTTGTGTCTGTCATACAGACTGAAGTGCCACCTCTCTTTGTAATTGAATTCCTACATCGAGTTGCTGACACTTTTCAGGTTGGTTATTCATTAGATCTTTGAACTTAAATTACTCAAGATAGTTGGGGGGGACACATTATTTTATTTTTTAACTATCCAGCTTTTGTTGTGTTGTCTGACCTACTGTCCCTCTCTCTCTGTCGTCAACTATGCATAAACCCTTTTATGTAGGGTATACAGTAGCACACATGGCTGCTCCATTCACTGTTTTAGGAGAACAGAAAACTCTCATTGGCATGGAAGCCTTATTTTTTATATGTACTATAAATTATGTCATCAGGAAACAATAGTGCTTTCCACACACATTTCTCTGAGTGGTCCCATTTATTGGTCATGAAATCTGACGTTCACATTTTATTTTTTTCTTTTTACTGAATATGCCAAATACTTTAATCTGTGTGTTTTGGGGTACCTAATCGGGACAAAGGGAGTTTATAGTTCACATTCTGATTTAATGCTTCACTGTACTTTCAGGCATAATATATAATAGAAATTCAATTCAATCCAGAAATTTAAGAAAATATATAGAACTATCAAAGGTTTTTTTTCCCTTTGTTTTATGTTCATTGAATTACGCAACTGTAAGTTTACCCTTCAGAACAAAAGCAAGCCTTTCTTCATTCCTTCCATGGTATTTTATCAGGACTACTTTGGTGAGTGTTCAGAGGCTGCAATTAAGGATAATGTGGTCATAGTGTATGAGCTCTTGGAAGAAATGTTAGACAATGGATTTCCACTGGCTACTGAATCTAACATTTTGAAAGAACTGATTAAACCACCAACAATTCTCCGTTCTGTCGTCAACTCTATTACAGGTGAGGCGAAAATACACTTTATTAGGAATTGAGCAACTAAAACCTTATAAACAATACCATTTCTTATGATCTGGTAGATCCTTAAGATAGTCCAATTTGGCCAGAATTAAAGTTAGTGGTGAATTTCAAATGGATGTATATTTCCTTTCATGTTTAAAAATCTATTTTGCTGGATCTTAAATGCTAAAGAACTTCTTGGTTATTACTCTTTTATTATATGTTTTTCTACAAAACCATAATAATATTACTATTATTTAATACTAAATAATAAGACTAAATAAATGATCACAGTTAATCCTAAAGAAGCAAATGTCATGATGGATGTTAATGAAACTTACTATGATAATTATTTTGCAATATATACACATAAATCACTCTATCGTATACCTTAAACTTAACATAATGTTATATGTCAATTATAACTCAATAAAACCAGAAAAAAATAAAAATAGTATTAAAAAACCGGCATATGCTACTACCCTACAATTAATAAAGTATAGAAAATGTGAGACTTGCTACCACAGAGTATATACTGTCTCCTCCAGGTCTTTGTTTTATACATGCAAATGCTCCCTTTGACAGCTCATTTATACATGAAAAAGATGTGTTAAGACAGAAAGACAAGAAATTAAGTCTATTTGTGATATCTCATGCATTGTGGACCTTGTAGTTGTGTTATAAATTTCCAGTTTTGATTTAAATCTTCAGTAGGGCTAGCAATTAGGTACATTCAATGACAATATTCTTTTGAAAAAAATTAGTCTTCTAGAGAAAGATTTCTATGAAATGTTATGTGCCATTCCAACTCTACTGTCCACCATTGTAAATGCCTCTCCAAGTGCACTAATCTAAAGTGGGTGAGAGAGGCCTATAAGAAACCGTTCTTTCCATAGCTCCTATTCATCCTCTGTACAAGGCTGAATGTCAGGAGAAATTCAAGGAAAGATAAGATGGTGTGTCTGTGCTCCTTCCTAAAACTTACACTCTGGATGGGAGGGAAATGGGAAAAAAAATTGAAATTGAAATACACAAATAACAGTACAAGATTTTTAAAAGCAGTTTCATACTTTGTAGTTGATATAGTCATAATGAAAGGTGTTGTTATTGTTAAGCATGTACTACATTTGAATTGGAAATGTAAATTAACCATATTGGTAACTATTTAAAAGTTCAAGGATATATGTTTAGGACAACCAGATTTATTTTCAAACCTATGTCAGTGTACCAGGAAATTAGCCAGATATTGAACATTAGCCATATTGTAGCCAGAAGGGTGTGCTGACCTTAAAATGGAAAAAGGCCAGAGTATGTTCTTCATTGCAGTTACTCCACTGAGGCCTGCTTGGCAGCATCTCATGTAGAATCCAAGCTGAATACCAAGGGACCTAGTTATCACCCTGTATTCTCAGTGGAGACATTTTATCGACAGAAGGTTTTGAAACAACCATCCTCTTCTTTTATCAGTGGCAGCAGGATGAGAGTCTGTTGTTGAGCCACTGGAATTAGGTTAGGTTACTGTTAACACACAGGAAGCAAAAGATAAGTAAATGAATTTAACCTGGTTTGGCAGATAGAGGACCACACGGCCTATTTCTGTCTTCTAGAAATTTGATCATGTTGGTATGAATATGTCTCCAGCAATTCTAGAAACCATCCACAACCTTAATGAAGAAAAACCCAAACATTAAAGAAGCAGCTAAAATATTCTCTCTTTTTTTTTCTTTCCTGTTAATAGCTTTTCTGTTGACCATTTTATGCATTCGTTTTGCTTTCTCTTTTCCGGTTTCTAGGCAGTAGTAATGTTGGGGACACACTCCCCACTGGGCAGCTGTCCAACATCCCATGGCGCCGGGCAGGAGTGAAGTACACAAATAATGAAGCCTATTTTGATGTCGTTGAAGAAATAGATGCAATTATAGATAAATCAGGTAATTGTGTGCATGTGGTCTTATTTGGGAAAAAAACAGTTCAGCTGACATAAGCTGAAGAGAGAATTGAAATCCCTTGGCAGTGTAGTTTCAGTGGAAAGACTAATGTTTAAATTTATTTTGCTCAGAGATTACATACGATTTTCATAACCACTAGTTGAGATTGGCCAATCTTTGTAAATCAGATCTTATGTTGTCTTACATTAAACTGATTATTACCCTGTACACCTCTCCTCTTGCCATTTATTCATTCTAACGTTTATTGTACTTCTACCATACACCATACTTTTGCTGCTATTTTTTGTGCAGTATTTCTAGTAAAGATCCCAGACAAAACAACAGTGCTGTATTAGATCACAAACATTTTAAACATCTCCAACCCTCACATTTTATGCGTAAGGAAACTGAAGTTCAGAGGGGTTAAGTAAGCTGCTCACGGTAACACAGCTAGTTGGTATGAAACTGAGTTATTGTGAACTATAACCAGTATCTTTTCTTTAGTGAGTACCCTTTTCATTATAAAATTCCATCATACAGAAAATAGCTGTATTATTGCAGAATAATGGCTCCTATTTCTTAAAAGTTAACAGGTAGCTTAGTCCATTTCATGAGAAACTTGCCTCATTTTAAAATTCTGTGAAAAATATTTTAACTTCATATCCAGCAGTTTTACAAGTTTGACTCTATAGAGATGTACACAGGTTTGATTTTCCTTAGAATTATCGTATTCCAGCCTGTATCAGGTATGGGCCATGGCACTCAGTGAAGACGCTGAATGTAATGGATCTCTGTCCACTGGTCTGATAATAGATGTGCAGAGGTTCAGTGTATCTGACATCCAGGAGGTGTCTCCATCACTTCAACACAGTGATAACTCATAAAAACGCAGGTCCGATGATGTTGCCACCTTTTTTCTTTCTTCAGGATCTACAGTCTTTGCAGAAATTCAGGGGGTCATTGATGCTTGCATTAAGTTATCCGGAATGCCTGACCTTTCCCTTTCTTTCATGGTAGGTTTTTTTGTTTGTTTTGGGGGGGAGGGGGTTGTTTCATGGTAGGTTTTGTTCGCCTGTCCTATAGCTCCTTGCATGCCTAATACATATGCAGCACTAAATGAAATGATAAACACTGAGACAGTCTTTTATCTTAGATTGTAAAAGATTATCTCCGAAGTAATCCTAGCACAGCTTACCAGGACACTAGCTTACGTGATGAGCATGGCCTGTATGGAAAGGCTGAGGAGAGGTCTTTGCCTAGGTGTGCTAGAAGTAGCTTAAGTGGCTAGCTGGCTTCTGCAATTCTGCAGCATTGATTTCATTGAATTATTATTTGTTTTGCTGGTATGCAAGGGCATTAATCTTTTGCATCATTTTAGACTCAGCATGACACGCCACTAAGAACAATCAAGAAAACTGAGTTCCAATTCAGTCTCTGCCACTAACTTGTCCTGACCTTGAGTTCTTTGGACCTCAGTTTTTTCATCTATAAAATGGAAATGAAACTCTTGGATTTTCTACTTCATAGTTAAGATTCAAGTAAAATAATGACATAAAATATTTGCAAACTTTAGAGCATTGTAAAACTATGCTTACGATGTGATTGTCATAACAAACTCTTACATGACTGCTTTATCTTTAGGGAGAGTATTAATTTCTCATATCTGAATAGAGTTGCCATGTTCCTCATGCTCTATGAATATGGTGGTTGTGTTCTGTTTTCCTGGCAGAACCCCAGGCTGCTAGATGATGTCAGCTTCCACCCCTGCATCCGGTTCAAACGTTGGGAATCTGAAAGAGTTTTGTCATTTATTCCTCCAGATGGAAATTTCCGACTCATATCATATCGGGTCAGCTCACAAAAGTATGTTGATCAACCAGATACCGCCATCATATATCAATATGCTGAATAGAATTGACTTTTCATTTTGATAGTTGGATTCTCGAGTTCATCGTTGCTGCCTTTAGCCATGGTTCATCAGGAGAACCAAGAACTGGTGAAATAGGTGTCTAAAATAATCAGTGTACCTTGAATCTAAGCGTAGACTAGTAGTAAATGAGACCTTAGTAAAATATGTACCTGAGAACAAGCATTTGGGACTGTATAACTTGAGCAAAACCATGAACCCATGCCATAATTTTACTATGGTCTATATACTTCATGGCTGACAGAAGGAGACAGACCTACCTATAGCTCCCAGGACATTCCCCAACTAACTGGCTCTAAGTCACTTTTCTATGCACTGGGGTTTATTTTCTTTAATTAATTAATTAATTAATTTGCATTGGGGTTTAAATGAATGATTTAGTGTTGTGGGTTGTAGCTAGTTTGTCCCGAGAAAATATCAGAAGTTATTTAGCTGGCATCAGGACAGGACTCAAAAGCAGAGATTTGAATTGTTTCTTGGCTCTTACCACATACAAACTGCTTAATTAGCTTGCATAATGGTAAATTATCTTTCTATAGATCTTAATTCATTTCTTTAAACTAGGGCTATTTGCCCCAATTGTTTATACTATAATTAAGCTTCGGGTTTCTATCTTGATTTATATACTTCTCAGAAATTGTATAATTCCTAGTGTAGTGGTATCAGAACAATGTGCTGTACTCACTGCACCCCACCCCAGTGCAGATGCAGAATCCGCACTTCTAGGGGTATAAGGTCTTATAGTGAACTTAGAGGCAGGGTAGATGCCCTGGACTGAGCTTTTAAGGTCACTTCCTGAGCTGTCTCATACCATTAATTATGTGTGTCTGTGCTTTTGTGTCTTTATCTTTTTAGTCTAGTGGCAATACCAGTGTATGTGAAACATAGCATCAGCTTTAAGGAGAACAGTTCTTGTGGCAGATTTGATATTACAATTGGACCAAAGCAGAACATGGGAAAAACTATTGAAGGAATCACAGTGACAGTTCATATGCCAAAAGTTGTGCTGAATATGAACCTGACGCCAACACAAGGCAGCTATACATTTGATCCAGTTACCAAGGTATAACCACCTCAAACCAAGAGTGAGCGTGTTTCTGCAATCTTTACTTTGTGATTTGGGGCAGGGGCTAGGGGGAAGGTTTTAGAGTCTTGGTTAAAACTAAAGTTCCTAACAAAACAGAGAGAGCATACTGTGCTGTGCTGTGCTTTTGCCAGTGGCTATGAAGGAAATACTGCATCTGCTGCTCAGAACAGAACAGGCTCATTCTGTCCCCCTTCAGAGTGTGCACACCTTTGCTCATCCATTGATAATCCAGGCACTCATTCTCTAATGAGGAAGAAGATATAAAAGCTTTTTAAAAAGAGAAAAACATTGTGTGGCTATAAGAAGATATATAGGCTATTGTTACATTTACTGTAGAAATTGATCATTTAGATCTTTCTCTCTTTTTTTTTTAATTTAAGAGCATTGTTTTGTACTTTTCCATAGGGGGTGTTGGCTAGGAAAACAGCGTCCTCACCCTACATAAATGTGCCTCTAGTGGAGGGTCTTCAGAGAAACTGCAAAAGATGATTTTCTCTCAGCTTCCTTGTTGGGTAAAAAAGTACTATTTTCAACAGCAGAGTCATTGGACTGCCTGGTGAATGAAAGGCGTATTTTTTTAAAATATGTTTTTATTGATTTCACAGAGAGAGAGATAGAAACATCAATGAGAGAGAAACAAACATCAACCGGCTGCCTCCTGCACACCCTCTACTCGAGATCAAACTCACAACCGGTGCATGTGCCCTGACCAGGAATTGAACTGGTGACCTGGTGCATGGGGCAACATTCAACCAACTAAACCACATCACCCATTCAAAAAC